AGAGTTTAGAAGTTTAGAAGTCTTGTAGTCTAGGTTCATCATATTTTGTATACTAAAAAAGGATCAAATAAGAAGAAGCTCATAGAACTCTCCCCTTGAAAAAATTGCAATTTCAGCCCTTCTTCCCTATAAAGAAATATTACTTAGTCACCTAATATCATGTATTGTCGTGAAATTATTGAAGTATCAAAATCATCATTCGTCAATAAAAATTCATAAATCTAAAAGCTCATTGATATTGGAAGAGCTTAAAAAGATAGTAACATAAATCTTAAAAAAAGAAAAAACATAAGGTCATAGCACTCTAGTGTCTCACCTCGGAAGAATTATACATTTAGCCCACTTCCTCACAGTAACATTAACTCGATAACTGTGATCAAGGGTTAGAGTTAAATCAAATAGTATGCTAAAAATGTACTTAACATTCTCTCACCACAGGCCAAAATAGAAGACATACCCAGTGATAATACCATTAGAATTAGATTATGTTGAGAGCTGTGAACTGATAACATCCGAACTATATGAATGACCTCCAACCTACTATTTGATAAAGATTTTAGGCTTCAAGCCAATATTTTCTTTAGTACTTTCGTTTGATGTACTCTAAATTTGGAACTTTCTCATTTACAAATGAATGTTTATAAATAAAAGGGGCGTTATGAGAAGATTACTGATGGACATTTATGAGAAAAGTAAGGTGAGTACAAATGTCTCTTCGATATTCCTTTGAAATGGACGTTATTAAAAGATTACCGATATTCCTTTGAAATGGACGTTGTTAAAAGATTACTAAATGGACATTTATTGGAAATTGAAGTTAATAAAAACGTCTCTTTAATATTCTTTTTATTGCCAAGTGCATGACCACCGATAACTATAGGAATTGCAAAAAAAGCCTAATATTATATTGATATTTTTTATGTGTATTGATATTTTTTATTACCCAATTGGTTTTAATTAACATTATATATTTAGATTTTTAATTATGAGAAGATTAACATAAGCTCTCAAGGTTAAATACAAAAATCAAACTTTAGAATAAATTACATGACAAACTATTTTTTGGAATTGTTACTCGTGCTTTATTAATGACTTTCATGTATAAAAGTAACAATAATAGTAGAAATTGAAAGGACTTATGAAATAGTGGAGAGAGTGGATGGAAGAGGTCATTTAAGATATTGAATGCAGACCATAAATAAATTTAATTAAGAAATTATTAATATAATTATAAAGAATAATAATTGTTCTCATCTAAGTATGCATGTATGTTCATGTACATGTGTGTTTTATTGTGTATATGTATCATGTGTTTTGGAGGATTTATGTATGTGTTCTATTAATGTATGCATGTGTTTTGGAGGGTACTTTGGGGAGAAATATTTTAACATACCACAGGGGGAAAAAACCTATAACTTCAAGATTTTATCAGTCAATTGTCCACAGTTAAGATTTTAACTTAAGGGGTTGTATCATATTTTGAAAGTGAAAGGGTTTATCTGGTAATCGTCCACAGTAAAGGTGGTTTCCGATATTATTTTACCCTGATAGCAATGTCAATTAATTTACTCTGTAATATTTTTGTAAAATATTAAAGGCATTAGAATTCAGTGACTAATGTGGAAAAACCCCAAAAATAAAAAAGAAGTATACACTGAGAAAAGAATTACTGTCGCTTCAGTTCCAACTCTTGCGATTGCGGAGCAGAAACTTGTTAAGCTATCTGGGAGAGGCAAGGTGAACAACGATTTCCACCCTAATTTCTAATTATTTTTGCTAATTATTATTGTTAATTAATCTGTAAATGATATGTCCATATTCGTACGGGTTGCTATTTTAGAGTCGAAGGAAGTGATCAGATCGGGTTAGGTTTTGTTAATTGTTTGATTTAAGAAGTGTATGGAATTTTAGGGTTCTTCCCTTGTTCTTAGTTATGTCAAAATTGGATCTTGCAAGGGAAAAATAAGAACAGAATGACGAAGATTACTTCGATGTTTGCCTACAATAAGACGTGTCTCATGTGGTAATAAACTCGAGATTTACTCTATTTTACAGTGCAACGTTTAAATGTGCAACCTAGTTTCAATACGATGATACATTTCAATATATTATTTGAAGATTATAAAACCTGCATACAAAGAGGTTATCTCTTCATTCTAAGTTTGCTTTACATTTTGATGGTGGATTTCCTGCATCATAACGTTTTAAGGGAGTACTATGTGTTAGGAGGCTATCTAAAATCTCGTGGTCGTACCCTGAAGCGTACTCCGGTGTTTAGTTCGCTAAACAAATTCATCTCTTAATGTGTATTTCTCACCTCACCTGCCAATATTTGTTTCATGTCTCCGTGATAGAATCGAAGTTGTCTCATACAGGGTGGGTGAATATTTGGAGGAAACATTTCAAGCCTCATATCGTGCCTTTTCAGAGTAGGTCTTCTCTCTGGGGTTTTTTCGTATGATTTGCATCCACAGGCTTTCGTGACCTAAGAAATGAGTAGACCCATATGACGTGTTTGTGTGTAGGTTTCTTTTTGTTTGTTTGTGTATAACAATTTCAATGAATTCAAGAACTATTTGCTTCTGGCATTTGGGAATTATTCATATCTAACATTTTAAGAGACGAACCATTGTTAAAAGCTTCCGTACTTGAGAGTATTTGGATAATAGTACGAGGACGGGTAACTTCCTAGGAAGTAGGAAGTCCTCACAAAGGGCATCAGAAAATGGTATAAGAATTAATAGTCCTGAATACAAACTAAGTGACACAGAGAGATAAGTATCCCACACTTAATGCAATATAACACAAGACTATTTGTAGAATTCATGTTCCTGCCTTTGATATCGCATTATCGCATTGCTTGGTGGTGGATATGGACACATGCGTGTATGAACAAGTGTTAATCTTTGCTGGAACCCAAAAATCTATAATCCCATGTAGGTTGTGTGCTAGGAAAGAGTAGTCCCTTATACTTTCAACTTTCACTTAACTGAAGAGTCAATGTAGTTCAAATTTCAAAGGCGAAAGCATAGGGAACTTTGTAAT